TATGCAACTTAAATGAATTTCACGATTTTAGTTACAGAAAACTAAATCAATAATTCATTTTTTGATTTTACTTATAAAATATTTATAATTTAAAGAATTATTATATTATGTTAAATCTATTAATTTAATAAAAGAAGAATATTATTTTACATTTTATTAAATACTTAAAACTTTTGAAATAAAATTTATAAAAATAAAATATTAGAAAAATAAAAAAATTTTAAATTCAAATTAATTTGCATAAATAAAATAAAAAAGAAAATGCTATATAATAAATATTTAGTTGATAATAAATATGTAATATTTTGAAATTTAATAAAATGCTAAAATTATATAATGTTATTCCTTTAATTATGTTACCTACAAATTTACAAGCAATTTTATTTATTAATTTAAATCATTTTTAATTTTTTTAAATAATTATAAATTATGTTATTAAAAAATTAATACTTTTATAATAAATTTTATGATATTTTCTATTAAAAAATTAAAATTTTAAACTTATATATTTTACTATCTATTAATCTTAAAAATATAAAAAACACTATCATTTAATAGGTTTTAATGAATAATATATTAAAATTAATATATATTAATTTAAAAATATTAAAGGTAAAAACATTTATTAAGTAATTTTTAAAGGGTAAAAAATAAGCAAAATTCTTAAGTTATATATATTAAAACTAATACATAATATAATTATTAATATATAATAAATTGATCATATGATTATCAATAACTATAACTTAGCAAATTTATTAATATATATTATTTAGATAGAATACGTATATTTAAAATGCATTATATTTAAAAGTACATATTTAGAACAAATAAATTTAAAATGTATATATTTAGAATTTATACATGTATATATATAAAAGACATTTATTCATTATCTAAAACATATTCTCTTAAAGGTCTTTTACTTAATAGAAGAATTTTTTCTTCTTATTATGAAGGAAAAAGCAAAAAATTATCATTAGTCAAAGAATTTTGCTTAATTTGATTTTTAGATTTTCTTTTAAATCATACATAAAAATACTTTATTATTTATGATTTGTTAAAAAGGTGAGAGTTAAAAGTATTTGTTACATTTAGAGTAGCAAAAAATGTAAATAAATTATTCTGTTAAGTAATGAATAATATCTATCTTTTATTTTGTGATAGAAGAGAACTTCTGATTACAAAAAATTTATATAATGAATCATATTTGAGAAATAGATAAAATATATATTAAAATTTGGTCTTAAATGTATAATATTTTTGAAAAAAATTTATACTTTATAATAAAAGTTCTATATTTATTTAAAATTTAAGTAAAGTGTATCACTTAAACTTTTAAATTAAACTGTAATATGTACAAATAACTATTGTTATCATTTTTATTTTAATTTTTTGTATTTTTTATAATTTTTTTAGCATTTATAATACTAATTTTAATACTATTAATATTATTTCTTTAATAATAAAATGATGTTAATTGAAATAAAAATTTTTATATAATATGTATATACAATAAATAAATTTAGTTTTAATGTTAAATTTTATCAGAAAATAACATATAATACATAATACATCATATAAATATCATTAAGGTTATTATTTGATCTATAATAGAAAGTATATGATAAATGTATAATAATAATTTTCAATTTGGTTAAAAGTATACAATAAAAAATTTTTCATCATTAAATAAGTATATAACAAATCATTTTTATCATTAAGTAGGTGCATGATGAAACTTTTTTTAGTAAATTATTAAATGTATGATAAAAGTCATAATACATAATCATCTAAAAAGAAAATTTGTATAACTGTACAATAAAACTTTTTAAAATTTCTTAAAAGTGTATGACAAGATTCTTAATAGTATAATTAGAAGCTCTGATAGAAGGCAAAAAACTATCATTTACTTTAAGAAATTCTATGGCTTTTTTGCACGAGATGATCTATATCAGCTTATATTTGTGTATTATTTAATATCAAGAGAATATAAATTACAATAGTTTTCAATCTATGATTATGATACAAAATATTCATTTAAGTCAGTTGTTTCTTTCTTTTCTTATTTCTTTTATTTTTTTTACTTTTTCAATTCTTTTATTTTCTCTTTATACATTGTTACCATGAAATTCTTCAACTTGAGATGGTCACGTTATCAAGTCTCTACTCTAAATTTCTTAACTATGGATTACTACGGTTAAGACATTAGGATCTGTCTAACTCTTAACTTTATCAGGCCTACGCGTTGAACTTAAACAAATCTATCAAGTATGAAGACTTGAAAGACGAGATTACAAACAATTTTAATTAAAGAATTCTAAATGACGAACTCAATTACAAATAATATGTAGGGATCACGTCAGACTATATGAAGACACAAAGAGGCAGAAAGATATAAGTTTTAAATTGATTCCTTTATTAATACTGAAACTCATATTCACAAAAGAGTTTACAAATCTGCAAAAGAGTTAATTTACAACACAAGTAAAAAGTCTATCTATTTATATAAAATTTTTTTCATCACAGCTAACTAATTACTATGCTATAAACTAAATAATTTGGCAAAATAAACTATAAGTAAAATAAACACATTGAAAATACGTAAAATAATAAAAAAAATAAAAATAATACTAAAATTTAGAATATTAAAAATACGTATTACACTAAATATTCTTAGACTTCGTTTAATTTGTAAAATTATGATTATTATCAGTATTTTGAAGATCTACAGAGTTACGTAGATCCTCTGTATTTTCAGAATTCGCAGAATTCTCAGTATTTTCAGAATTCTGGATTAGGAGATCGTCATATTGTGTCATCCATGTGACTTCATTATGACTGGTTAATTGCTCCGTTGACAACATATCTTTAAACTGCAGATTTTTGAATAAATTTTTGAAATATTTAATATACTTAGTATTTATATACTTTTCAAAGATCAAATCACAATTTCAAATATCACAAAGTGTTTTTTTTGATATATTTGAAATTTTGAAGAACTAATTTCAGATTTATCATTTTGTTTAATATATTTAAGTGTATTTTAAAGTGATTTATTAGTAGCGTAATACTTATTAACCTGTCAGATAGTGTCATTATTTCTTTTATATAGGATTATACTTGAATTGTTTTAATGTATGCATTTATATACTTAGGTAATCCAGGTTAAATTTTAAAAAGCTGACAATAAACTTTTAACTTTTTAGATGCTTTAGGTTTTCATCCAATTCTCTGTCGACTAATAGCACTCAAATCTCTCCATCAATCTTTAGTATATCATCATATTAAGAATCTTGAATAAGACATTCTAGATCTTCCATATGTATAAATAAAGATATACTAAAAGACTACTAATAATATATAAAGTTAACAAACTGTTTTATTTATAGATCATCATTTTATTCATTTAATTTTATTAGAAGATAAACTGATAAAATTAACTTTTGTCCAAATCTTATAAGAAAATCATATTCTATTACAATCACAGATTTATTTACTAATTATAGCATATAAAATATTTATCTTATTGCAAGTATACCTAGGCTAATTTTCGCTTTATTATTTTAAAAAATAATAACACTTATATTAGTAAATAGTGAAGCAAATTTCTTGCATATTTAACGGATATAAGGCAATAATATCTATTAGAATTATCTCATATTTCTGTGTATGAAACTCTGGTTACTACAACTTATACTAGATAATAATGTGTCTTTATAATAATTGAATTGACTTATCAAGATAACAAGTTATTTAGTATTATTCTTACTATATAAACATTGTAATTTTCTTTAAGATTCTTATGTAAATTTTGATTATCTAAACTTTAATTATTTTTTTCTTTCATTTTTTTTATCTACTGTCTTAACTTCAATCAAATTATAGATATAGTCATATAAACTTAGATGCTTAAAAAAAGTGAAGAATAACTAAGTTTATTATATTGTATCACTTCCTGATTTTCAATAAATATTTTTTATTTTTTCTTTACATTTTTGAGCATAACTTACATTTTTTTGTAACTTAGTAATTTCTCTTTATTAGATTTAATTTTAATTTAAAAATTCTCTATCTTTATGTATGTTTCATATCAAAATTGAAGATTAGTTGTAATATTATAGATTTGTTCAAATTTAGTAAGTTTTTTTCAGCTGTTGCTATTTTATTTGCTACCTTTTTAAGCTAATGCATTGATAGGGATTTCTGATACAGGATCTACTAAACAAATAATAGGAAAAGCTAAGATAAAATTTTCTTTAAATACAGAATGTCTTAGTCTTAAAGTTTTTATATCATATATATTAAATAGTGTATTAAGGTAATTTTTAATAATATTATCAAGAATAATTTTAGGATAATTCTAATTTTACACAGGATGTTCAGACACGATATCATATGCTTATAAATAAAATTAAAATATATTATTTGTATAAATATGTGTATAATGATAAGTCACGTTTTTTATTAAATAATAAACCTGTTTTCTTATTTGTAAATCGAACAGTACAGTGTCACATTTTTTTTATTTTATTTGTATTTATCAAACATTATATCATCTTTGTTTACAATGACAATAGAATCAATTACTATTGTCTAATTCTTCTCTCTCAGACTTTCATTATATTTCATTTGTAAGAATGTTTTGTAAAAAGTATAAAGAACACAAAATAATTGTAAAGTTTGAAATGTTACAGATGATTTTATTACTCTAACAAGTCATATAATAAACGTTAGTATTTAGGTTAGTTTCTATTATCCTTTAGCTTTGAATGTACTTTTTTAAACATCAAACAACCGAATGGGTCACCTGTACCCCAGTACTAGTTTTGTGACTTGGCAAATAGCCTTGAATGACAGAGAACTGAGTGGGTATCCCCTATCATGCTACTATTTTTTTACCATTTTTTCACTTATACCTTTGACATAAACTTGAATTTGCTATTATATAGTATATATCATCTAACTTTATAACTTTTTACTCTATTGTTTAATATTTCTTAATAGTCTTCTAAATCAGTTTTATCACAATCAGACCCTTTGTAAGCTAGATATAAACTTCTACTAATTAATTTACTGCAAGCTAATCCTTCACAATATAAGCTTTTACAAGATGATTCTTCACAAAATGATTCTTCATTGGTGAAATCCTTAGAATTGATATCTGGTCTCATTTTCTCAAGCTGTGATGATTTTAAGATTTGAATAAGTAAATTTACATTAAAAGAAGATTTTAATCATAAGATCAGGATAAGTGGAAAAGATCAAAGTGAGATAATATGAAGGGTTACATACAAATATACTAAGTCTGGCTCCCATAATTCACTAGTTAGTTTAGACTAACTAGATACTTTAATGCTTAATCTTTACAGACTCTCTGTCCTTAAAAACTTAATGTCACTTATCCAAAAATAAGTAGCATTATAAAGATTAATTCATTCAATAGTATCCATAACCATCACTTATACTAGCAATTTGTGAAATAAATTGCACAAATCATGTAGAATAAAGAAGATTATATGACGAAATGTATTCAAAAATAGGATGCTTATTTTATATAAACAGGAGAACTTCTTATCTATTATTAAGGAAAGTATATAAAGTTAGAAAGTTTATTAGATAATAAAGATTTTAAAATAGGCTGCTAAGTATAATTACGATAATAAGAACCAGAATTACATTCTTTTAGAAATCTAAAAACATATATTGAAGAAACATTATTTTCTAAATTAATAAACTATATTAAGAAAGACACAATTTCTGAGAAGACTTATCAAAACTATATATATTTATAGGAATACAAGTATAATGAGAAGAAAAAAGGAATTTATTATGATAGATATGAGTGATCAAATATAGTAATATATAGGAAGAAATATTTGAAAAAGATGTTTAAATATCAAAAATATATAAAAGATTTTGATAACAATATGCTGGACAATATTTTAGAACCCTAGCTTAAGTTAGAAGAGAAAGAGTTAGTCTAAGTGACACATGATAAATGCCATTTTATGTAAATGATAGACAACGAAAGATCTGAATGAGAGAAAATGAAGATATTCTATGATCAAAATATGCAGAACGCTCTATTATAGTTTTAACCTTCCTTTGTTCATATTATGAATTATCATAATTATCTGAAGAATAACTAAAAGCAAATCTAAGTATTAAAAGTAAAGAAGCCTTTATTCTTCATTCTATATAAATAGATGGATATTGAAAGTCAGAACATATGTTAGATCAAGTAGGTTTTTCTTATAGACCTAATGTTGAAGTATAAAGTTTTAATAATTAGTTTTTTTATTATAAACGTAGCTTATAAATTAAGCAATTCTAATATTTGAGATATAGCATCCTGATTGTATCAGAGTTTTTTGTTTTGATTATTTTACAAACCATAATGCAATAGCAGCTAATATATTAATTCTAATGAGAATGAACTTAAGTTCTAAAGAAATTCAACTTAAGATGCACGATGATTAGTATACTAATAAAATCAGAGAAAAGTGTATACAATCAATAATATTTCCAGATAATTATCAACTAAAAAAACAGCTGAAGGGTATTAAACAAGTACTTAAAGAGTGTAATCTTTAGCTAATGAAGGATACTTGTTTGATGTATGAACAGTGCTTTGAGAAATATGATGATGTTGATTCAAAAAGGCTTGATTATTATGTATGATGAATAATGTCACTACAATCTGATTTTTACGAATAATGTTTAATATTAGAAGAGGCAATAATCAAAGTGAACCATATTTTCAAAAGATATCCAAAATTTCATTGTGAGTGTAATTTCATAGAAAGATACTGAGATTTTACAAAATAGGAGATAAACTGGTTATGTAACTATAATTTTACTGACTTATTGATATAGGTTTCAGAAGTTCTTATTAGTGTTCCTGTAATAATAATTTGTAAATTTGCATATAAATCTTGGAGATATATGAATGTATATAATAAGGACTAGAAGATAAAATCGTTGAGTGAGCTGTTAGCAAATATAAATCATATTGGCATTTACCTGAAAACATTGAAAAAATCATGGATCAGTTAGATGATAAAAATAATATAATAATAAATAAAACCAATACTTAGCTACTTTTACAACTTCTATAGCAATGTTTATGTTACTAAAATCTATTTAACTCAAATATTATAAGAATTATAGTAAAAAAAATTTAAAACGCATCTAATTATCGCTTTTTTTCAGATAGTTACACAAAATTTGGTCATTTTTTATTAGCTGATATTATTTCACGTAATATGTGTTCAGCATTGAAAATTTGAAACAAAGTCACGTGATTGTTGAGTATAGACTTTTGACACCATACAAAAATTTATAATTTAGTTCAATTTTTTTATTAATTAATAATTATAATATAAATTTTATTTTTATTTTATTTTTTAAAATAATTAACTAATGCAATAAGATTTGTTTTATTTAATACTTTTAATTAATTCTTTTTATTATTTTTTATAATATTTAAATTTTGTTTTTATATATATTAATTTTTTATTTTTAAATTTATTAATAAAAATAGTTTTTATTATTTAATTATAATATCTGTTCATCTTTTTAAAAAGAATGTTTTTTTATTAATAATTGTAATTTTTTAAATTTTATTTATCTAAATTATATTAATTTAATATTATTTTAATTTCAAAAATTAATTATTAAGAATATTAATATTCAATATAATATCTATTAAAATAATAAATATTTAAACATTAGTACTAAAAATATTAATATTTAAGATATTAATATTTACAAATAAATATTAAGTTTAAGCTAACAAAATTTTTATAAAAATATAAAATCATAAAAACAAAAAGCAAAAATAAAATAAATAAATTTTCAATTTGATAGTATATGTTATAATGAAAATAGTTAATTATAGTTGGTAATACGAATCTCGGACCATTATCATATTGAAAAACAAGTTACAAAGATTATTGTTAGTGTGATACAAACTTGTATTTTTAAAATAAACCTATAAATAGGATCTTCCTAAAATTTAAAATTTTTTTTTTTTTACTACAAACTAACTAATTAGTTGGTGGAGAGTTTATGATAGGATGCAATGTATCTCCTGAGAATCTGTTTATTTTATATTCTTTTTTTTTGTTTTATTTGAGTTCATAGGTCATTTTTTAATAATAATTTATAGTAAAAAATTTTTTCGGTACAGGAATTAAGTTTTCGACTGATGAGCATCTGAAGATGAAAAAAGTAAAGGTTATTTTTTTTTTCTTACTCAGTAAGATATCTTATATTATAGTATCGGAGTAAATTTTTTTTTTCGTATTCGTAATCGATAAATCGATTCTATTAAAATATTTGTAGTGATTGTAGAAAGACTGTTCAAAAATGGGAATGGATAAAATAAGAAGGCATGATGAGAACATCAATTTGTCAAATTGTGATGTTAAATCTTTAATTTACTTTATGTATATTAATTTCTAATTGAAAAGTTTGTTTTATTTATATAGTTTTTTTTTTCACACTTCTAAGTATTTCAGTTATAAATAAAGTTACATATGACTACTGTAAAATCAGTTGAACTCCAAACGTCTCACCAAATATAAAAATTTTTTTCCTTTATCCTTTATGAGTTGTTTCTCTCCGGCTAACACACCGGCAAGCTTGTGTCCTATAATATTTTACAATAGTGTTCCTCTCTTAATTATTAAATCTTTAAAATTCCTTTTGAACTTATATTATTCACCTTATAACACCTTTGAAATATTTAACGACTTCCTCCCAACAGTCGCAAAATTTCCTCTTGATTTCTTTTTTTCCCTTTTTTTTTTTTCTTTTCTTTGTAAATAATTTTTTTTTTTTTTTTTTTGTATTATTATTATTTTCTTTTCTTTTTTTTTTTTTTAAAAAAAAAACATTTTGTCGAAAAAGTCATCGTATACTTTTGCTTTTGGTATAGAAAGGATTATTTGTATTTGTTTTATAGTATACGTTCGTGTCAAAAAAAAGGTATTAGCTATTAAAGTGAAAACGGGGCAGTTAATTTTAATAGGTATTCAAAAATAAGAGTGTGTAACGGAAACGCAGAACGAATTCATAAAATGTCGTGTGAGGAATTGGCTGAAGCGGAACCTCAACAGACAACCTCAACTAATAAGGAGTCGCGAGAAAATACTCCTATATCTTCTACTGCCCCCAAAAAATCCGCGTCTCATCCTAACCTTCAAGCTCAACAATTACAAAACGAACAGAACTCGAGTGCTGAATCTAGTCAAGAAATAAAAATGAATTTAAGTCGAAGGCAACAAAAAGATAAAAATGATAAAGACATTTTAAAGTCTAACAATGCTTGTCAAAGCGTGTCAGACAAAGACATTATCAATAATAACAATTCGACTAGTAACAGCAACACATTAATTAATTCTGATGGTATAGATGAAAATTCAAATGGTTCATTTAATCATAATATAAGTGTTGATGATATTGATCATGATTCATTACAAGAAAATGGTATTTCAATTCCTCGGAGACAAAGCATGAATGATAATTCTCAAAGATCGTTGAAATCCTATTCTATGCATCAACGTCACAATTCGACTCCAAGTAGTTCTTCAGTTAACATTACCACTACGAATGCCAGTATTTCCTCTTCACCTCCATCTCCATCTCCGTCATCATCATCAACATCAAATGATAATAGCAGCGATAACATAAATTCAACCGATACCAACAATAACGCGAGCACAAGTGCCACAACAACGCCCACAAACACAACTTATTCCAATATTAACATGTCATCACCAATGTACGAAGAAATGCCCCAATTACCATATCCGAATATGAATCCAAATGCTCCTTTTATGCCCGCTCAGTCCCAATACTTTACTCCTCCATTTTTTCCAAACAATGGACAATACTTTTATGACAACAGATTTGGGAGGCCGCCTCCTCAAATGCCTCCTTCAGTACAACAAACATTTGTTAGATCAAATGTTTACCCTTATCCCCAAATACCTGTTATTCCTTCAATGCCTCCTCAACCTTATCATAATCCTTCCCCTCTAATTCCTCATCAGTCTCTTCCCTCAAGATACCTTAATCCTTCTAGTGCAACCGGGGGTGATTCTGGTTTTTCTTCTCGTAGAAGTTCTTTGGATCAAATTAGAACTCCGGATTTTAGTCCCCAACATCCTCCCAGGATAAATCAGCAAAAAAAACCTAAACAATTGGATAAAGCCCTTTGGGTTGGAAATTTACCTGATTCGACCACTCAAGATGAATTAAAAGAATTTTTCGCAGATGAGAACATGGAGGTAATTTATTTATATTTGTGATGTGAGTTAAAATTTTTTCTTGATTAAATAGTTAACAGTTGATCATTTTAATTATAATAATTTCTAGAGCGTATTCCATATTAAGAAGTCTAATTGTGCCTTTGTGAATTATAAAACATATGAAGCTGTTATGGAAGCTGTAGATAAATACAATGAAGCTGGTACGATCTTTGAGCAAAACACTAGTTTAGATTAATCTTATATTTAGATTTTATTATTAACCTAAATGATTAATTCGCATCAGAGTTTAAGGACATTAAATTGGTTTGTCGTCCAAGGAAGGTAAATACGTTTTTACTTTTTTACTTACCAACATAAATTATTTAAATTAACAAGTTTGTGCTTTAATCTGATTCTCAGCAAACTTCCGCTGATTTAAAATTGAAAACCGAATCCTTGTCTGCACTTGTTTCGGAAAGCACTCCTCCTCCTACGCCTTCAGAGGCTGGCTCAACGGCGTCATCTTCCACTAGATCTCGCCGTTCATCCGTACCACCACGTCAACGAATTCGACAACCGTCTATTGCTTCCGTGTCTCCGGCTTCTTCTGTTTCTTCCTCAAAACCCTCTTCACAAAATAGGTATTTCATTCTCAAATCATTGACTCAAGATGATCTTGACATTTCTGTTAAAAGTGGCCTTTGGGCAACGCAGCCTCATAATGAAGCAGCTTTGAATAAGGCGTTTAAGGTAAATTTTTCGAGTATCCATAAAGATATATCACCTTCGTTTGTAGTTGAAATATACAATTAACTGACCTATTTACACTAATATAGAGTGCCGAGAACGTATACCTAATATTTAGTGCCAATAAGAGCGGTGAATTTTATGGTTATGCAAAGTATGCTTAATTAAGTTCTGTTTAAAGTCACTTTATGATTTTTATGTTAATATTTTATTTTACAAACATTATCAGAATGAAGAGTCAGATTAGTAAAGAGATGACGACCGAGACAGTACAATGGACTCCGATTGACGAAGCTGCTTTAGCTGCTTCTTCTTCACGTCCTTCACCTAATCAAGATGAAAAGTCACGAAAAAAATCTCAAGAAGAGAATGAAGATTTGGAAGATGACGCTATTCCATCTAGGAATTGGGGGACAACCTTTAGAGTAGAATGGATTAAAGTGTATGTTCCTTATTCCTTATAATTGAAAATACTTTTCGTAGTCTAATGCGTGTTTTTATATTTAAATTAGTCAAAAGCTTCCTTTTATTCGTACGCGTCATCTTCGTAATCCATGGAACGCGAATCGCGAAGTTAAAATCAGTCGCGATGGTACCGAAGTTGAACCAGTTGTTGGAGACCGATTACTTACCGAGTTCCATAAACCAACTCCAACTATCCCCGTATCATATTCAACTATATCTGGCCCTTTATTAACTCAGCCATTGAATATTGATGGTCAAGGTGTGATTGTCGAAGGACAGGATAGGTATTTAATTATTGCTTAATCGATTGTATTAAGGATCAATTATAAGACGGTACATTTTACGAAACCTTTTTTTTTTTTTTACTTTTAGAATGTTGACTTCTCAAACTCAACTACCGCCAATGATGGATCCTAATTTTATGCAAAACGCTCAACCTGCCTTTTTCACTCATCCTCAAGGGTATTGGCACCCACAACCTCTTATAATACCTCCATATGGAGCACCTGCTCATCCGGGTTATGTTCCAAGTCAACAAACTTGGACGACTACTACAGCTAAAGATTCATCTGTTGGTATTACTCGTGCACAACCGACTCAACCTTCAACAGGTGTAACTGGTTCTACCGCGATGACACCGATAATGCCTTTGGACCAACAATACGTGGAGGTAATATGGGTAAATATGGCCACAAGAGTAGAAACTGTGTGGGGTTATATACATAGAAATCACAAATATATTATTAACCTTGCAACGAATTATCTCTCATTGAATTTCTTATATTTGTATAGGGAATTCCACAGCATCATCCTTCACATTACCAGTCCTCTGCTCATCACCTTTATCAATCTCCCGCTGCTGGTACAGGAGTTCATTACCAGCAAGCACCACCACAGCAATACTATAGATCTTCAGATGATAATAATCATATAGATGGTCATATGTCATATCAAGTATCATCGCAGCAGCAACAGGATCAAAATATGGGCAGTGATCAAGAAAATGAATCCCATATGATGTCTTCTTTTCTCATGGAAGAGCAAAGACAAAGTTTTGAAGCTAGTGGTAGTGCATAGACAATAGCAATATAGTGGTAGTATCGTTTTTCTTTTTGTTCATAAAGGTGTTAATCAGTATGCATTTACTTTTATGATCAAAATATTGCTTTGTACTTTATTACTTCTCAATTTTTATTTTTGTAACTTAGTGATTTTGTGTACAATATGTGTACAAACAGGTAGGTATTTTTCGGTTTCAAAAAAAATTCTTCTCCTTTTTAAATTTTGTTTGGTCAACTTTGTGTAGTTTTTTGTTATTATTCGTGTAAGTTTGATATTGTATTCTTTGTCTTTTTCAATTAAAAAATTTCTTTTTATTTGTATTTTAAAAATTCCTTAGATCCAATCTTCATTTTTATTCAATGTTCTTCTTGTGGTACTACTTTTCTCCTTTTATCCGTCCCTTTCTTATTGTTTACCTTCCAATTTGCTTTTACTCGATTCCAAAGATGAAAGTATAAATTCGCTAATAGTTATTTTATTTATTTTTTTTATCTTTTGTATAAAAAAAATTACGTTCTTTTTTTCCTATTGTCAGATTTTTCTTTAATGATATTCGTATAATTTAGTAAGTATATGTGTAACATTAGCCAAAAGTGTTAATGATAGTTATGAGAAATTGACTAGTATTTTTTTGTCAGTAGACGGTAATACAAGAAATTATTATTATTTCTATTTTTTGTTAATGTAATTTACCTTGGTAAATTAATTTTTTAAAAAAAATTAAAAAATTAAATATTAAAGAATTGAGAAGTTATAAAAATGTCTTATATATATATTTTTGTTGATTTTTTTTTTTTTCAATTTTAAAATCATATATTGGTAACAACGAATACATTGTAGCATATACATTATTTTTGAAATGTATAAACAATCTAGTAATAGCATCATAAAGTTAAAATTTAAAAGTATATTATCATATTTAATCAATACAAGTTATAAAAACCAAGTCATTGATACTTCTATTTTGACTTTTTGAATTCATTTTCTGCTTTTTTCTATAATATAAATGGTATAATATCTGTTTGATAAATCTAAAATAAAACAAATAGTGGGATACCACATGTAATATAATTTATATTACATGTAGTATCCCACTTAGCCTAGATTATAGTATCGCATATAATCTAAATATTACATATAATCTGAATATCACATATGATCTAAATATCTCATATAATCTGAATACTGCATATGATCTAAATGATGTGACCTAATTA